TAAGTCTGGATTTGTCTTTATTTATCCTAATAAGGATACTTTTAAGTGGGGGGAGAGCTTCCTTTATTAGTGTCTTTCAACATTTATCAGAAATTTTAGAGCATTTTATTTTCATGTAATGTTTTTTCCTCTTTCTCACATGAACAGTCTATCCCCACCCTGAACCCTTATAAAACATAAATTAGACAACCCCGTTTCTGTCTTCCATGTCTCTTGAACTCTCATATATCTTTTTTGTCTCTTGTCTGCATTCTGAATCATTTCTTTGGAATTCTCTCTCAATTTGCTAATTTTCTGTTCAATTCCCTTTAGTTTCTATCAATTTGTACATCCTGTGTGTTTAAATTTATCCCCTCTCCTTTAAGGCGTTCCTGCCCAATAATTTAGCACATATTAAATTAGCAAAATCGTAGGTAAGCATGGATCTAGAAAACCATATTTAATGCCCCTGACAGTTCTATTACATTTCTACAATAATCTTTCTACTTTTCTGGACTATTTTGTTGCTTCTCTTTTCCTCTCAAACTTAATAACTTCTCTCATCTCCACTCTCAATGACCAAGATTGACATAAATGACCCCCTGCTACCCTACTGGCTCCTTCTCTATCCCTCATCACCCTCTCTGCTGGAGTCCTCTGCTTTCGCTCTTAACTGTGGATGATCTGATTTGTTGCTGAGACCAAACTTACAACTTTCTGCTGGGGTCCCATTGTTTTTACTGTTTTAAGAATATTGTTCCAACTGTTTTCTTCTTTCTTCGAAATCATTTTACCTTCCTAACTGCCTCCTTCTCCAATTTTTCTCCCTTTGTCTTTTCTCTCTTTGCCTACCTTTTTTTTTTTTTTTTTTTTTTTCTTGCTCTTCTGTCCCTCTCTTTCCTAGAACATTGCTTCATTCTCTTGCAGGCACTTTTTTTTTTTTTTTGCTTTTTTTGCTCTCCTTTATAACAAACTCTTTGGCAGAGTCCTTACTGCATTTCTCAGTATTATCCCTTAATATTGAGTCAGGGATCATCTTACTTAGAGAAATACTTTGGCTTTTTAAATACTATACTTGATTTTCAGAACACCACCATCTCCTACTGTATCCCTATCTCTCTGGCTGCTCTTCAGCATCTTTCTCTGATCCCTTCTGGTATTTTCAGTCTCTAAATTTGGACCAAAGATCACTTCTAGGCCATTTCTCTCTATAGTTGCTTGCTTGCTTGCTAAGATTTTTCAATCTGATGTCTTTAAATACTATCTGGATACTGATAATACATAGATTTTTGTCTCTAGCCTGAGCTCCAAACCATGTATCCAGTGTCATCTTTGTTTTCATAGGGACACCTCCCATCCCTCTCCTTAAACTCACTCTTCCTCAGACTTTCTCTACTAATGAATAGATCCATTCTTACAACTTTTCAGGCCCCACACCTCGGTATCCTCACACATTCCATTTTTATCTTCTCATCCAAACGGTCTGCACGTCATCTGGGCCCTACTTTATCAGTAATTGACATGAACACTTCTTACCAATTCTCTTGCCATCATTGTGGTTCTAAGCTACAATATATTCATTAAAATGGGTCATTAAAATATTTGTTCATAAAATTTATTTCTATTTTTTCCTCCTCATGCAGTCAGTGTTCCTTCTTAGATACAAGTCAGATCATGTTATTATGGTGCTCATAACATTTTCAATCTAAGTTTGCATTGTGTCTTATGCTTCAGACACAAGGGTTCCTTGCTGTTCCTTGAACACCCTAGAAAGAAAATGGCATCCTTTCACTTCCCAGCCTTTGTGCTTGCTGTTGCTTCTGGCTGGAAACACCCTTCACCTGGATACACACACTTCCACCAAGGGCTTGGCTCTCATGTCACCCTCCAAGCAAGGCCTTCCCTGACCACCTGCTTATAATTGTAGAATCAGCCCCAGTGGGTGGTATTCATGTCCTTTTACTTTTGTTTTTGTTTGATTTCATTTTGTTTCATGGTAGCTCTTTTTATCACCTGATATAAAATATATAGCTTACCTAGTTATTCTATATGTATTATCCAAAATCTCAATATAAGCTCCATGAAGTCTGTTTTTTGTGTGTTTTTGCATTTCTTTCTTTTTTTTTTTCTTCACTCTTGTCCAAATTGATATGGTCCACAGTCAGTGCTTAGCAAATAAGGGTCAAAATAAAGATGAATAATGAATTTATGCTGGAGGGTGAACTAGTACAGAAAGATATGAGACTACTTAGGATGGGATGAGGGAGGGAATACGCAGGAGTGAAGTCGTGCTAAAGAAGACAAGTTAATGTAGAAGAACAGTCATTTGATCTAAATGAAAAGTCATGTTCCACAGAGGGATATGTAAGTATAGATTTCCTGTTATATTTGTTAAAATGTTTTCTCAAATAGTTTTCTTAAAGTAACAATTTCATGTTGACATAGCTATTAAGACTTCTTCAGCTGTCCTGTGCAGAAATGACAATGTAGATCAGTGAAAAATGTATGGGTCATTATAAGGAAGTTAGTTGTAAAAGTTGACTAAGAGTAAAAAAAACTTTAAATTGGATGCTTGATTCTAATTATAAGCAGGAAAATCAAATAAAGATCACATGCACTTTATCTTTTAGAAGAAGACACAACACAAAGCTTTATCATCTTAAGGTCAAATAGCATTCCTTAAGTAGAGTACAGAACATTGAAGGTGCCAATCTTGAAGTTAACGTGTTTGACTAGATAAAAGTTTCAATCTCAGTTTTCATTGATAAGAGAGCATACATAGATGAAATTCATAACATTCATTTGAATGCGGAACTGTATCAGTTAAATATAATGTACTTATGTATATACCATCAACACAGCTATAAAACAGTTAATTTTAAATTGATATGAATGTTTTGATATTTTTTATAGATTCATAAATTTTAAGAAATGTCATGTCATGGATGAGAAGACTAGGTTAGTTAGGAGCCAAGTATTTGACTTTTTTTTTTAAGGAAGAATAATAAGTAAATGATGACAGCAAGCACAGTAGTGAGTGTTAATGCGTGGGTGGTATTAAATAGTTTGCATTTTTTTAATCTTGTAATATAATAACGAATATTATCTGTAGCATAGAGAAAGGATAGACTGAAATTTTATACAATGTACAAATAATCCTAGCACTAAAACTTAGATTTAATACAAAAAGAAAGTAATAGATAAATGAAAATCATAGGTATATATGAAAAATATTTTTGAGCATTATTAAATAAAATACACCATGTGTTAAAAGACTGTCACCCCAGTAAAGAATGGGTTTCCCCCCAAAATATGAGAGTGGCTTCAACATTATAATGAATACATTATATTGTATTAAAATGAAAAGTAAATATCCTCCTTCTTTCAGAAGACATAAAAATAAAATAGTTGAACAACCACCATCTATTCCTGATTTTGAAAAAAATAATAGTGAAATAAGCCCTGGCTAGAACTGATACAAGTATTCCTGCTTAAAGAAATGTTTTTATTAAGTTTGGGATGGATACAAAACAGTATTTTTAAAAATAGCTAAAAGAGATCAAGAATAGTAAAGTCAATACTGTTATGTGAATTTTCTGGTACTAATTGTATGTATTTGTATTCTTAATGTGATATGACTTACATAGTTCAAACTGAAAGCCAACATTATGTTAATGGTAGAAAAATGAGACACTAGAAGCATTTTCATTACAGTTAGGAATAACACAATAACATCCTTCTCGGCAGTTTTGACATTGTTTTGTAGGCGTAATGAGTTTAAACAAGAAAAAATTAAGTTTTGAATATTAGTAAAAACAGAAGAGATTCCATATTGGTCCAATAGTTTGTGACTATAATCTTAGAAACCCCCAGAAGAATGAAATAGAAAGCCATTTGAAACAATAAAGAAAACTTAGCAAGGGGGCAAATCTAAAAAAACTAATTTATTCAAATTATTACCTTATATATGCTAACCATGGCTAGTTTCAAAAAATATTATGAAAGAAATGATTTTATTTACCTAGCCTCCAAAAATAAAACAAGCAAGAAATACATAATAGCTACATAAAAGTAATTCTTTTAAAAGTTAGAAAAGCATCCAGCAATAAAACCATATTACTATTGGAAGGGGAGATTTAATATTTAAGAGGCAGTAACTGTCCTTTCTAAGTTAATAGGTCACAAAGTGAGTTTTTCTTGCTGGCTGCTCATAAAAATAATTATCTTATCTCATCAACTAGACAACCTGTGAGTTTAAAAAGGAAAGTGAGGCTCAAGTTTGGAAGTAACTTGCCCAGGATTTCACTCTGGCTGCCTGTGACACTCATCAGGTGTTCTAGTCTGTTCATCCAGATTAGTGTGTTCCTTGGAGGCAGAGCTCTTCCTGTCTGCATCCAGGCTCTTGCATCCACTGAAGCACTGGCCCTTGTGTTCAAACCCCACTTTTCCTTCTGCAGTAGAGGATGTGAATTCCATAAGTTGATTGAACTTGGGCATGCCAGTGTGTGCTTTGTCTGATCTAGACAGTGCTAACTAGTCATTTTCCTGTAACCCTACAGTCCCCAAATCAGCAGAATTTTAATGAATATTTGGAAATCTGAAGATTTTTGTCTGGAAATACTTGGATTTGTAAATATTTGGGATGGATTTCAGAAGTAATCGCTTTCTCTAGTCAAATAAATTTCACTGTTGGGTAGAATGTGTTCCATGGCCTGCCTTTTTGTGACCTTGGATTTTTCCAGACTGTTTTCCCTAAATTCAGGCACACTAAAATCTAGGTGCCAAAATATAGAATAGGGTGAGATCCCTGTATTTGTCTGTTTCAGTGTTTTCACTGGCCAAGTCATTCTATGCTGTTATTCTGCTACTGTTTCTAAAACTGAGTTAATTGCATGTGAACTTGTGTGTGTTTACACCTGTTTATGTTCCTAGATTGTTTAATCTTAAGTCAATGAGTAAAGATTTAAGATTATGCTCCTACTGTTTTATCAGTCACCCTGTGTTCTTTGTCTCCCTATCAGGTATTTTTGGTCACAGTCTGGAATTTTGAACTGTACATGATCCCCCTGGCATTATTGTTGCTCTTTGTCTACAATTTCATCAGACCCATGAAAGGCAAAATGAGCAGCATGCACGACAGCCAGGTGAGCAAAAATGGACATAGTTCTGGCACGTGACTTGTGGAAAATGTGCTCACAATAGGAAACAACAACTACCACCGAATCACTGCCTGAGTCTGTTTTGGTTGGGACTGGGGAGCATCCCTGCACACATACCTATTTTGCAATGGAGGTCTTTGTCTTTCCTCGGTAGCAGCTGTATTAACTGTGTTCCTGTCTCAGCCTACAACTTCCGCATAACTGGAGCCCTGTTGTTGCTGGTCTTTTTTTCATGTGGGCAGTACTTGTGTGCACCCATCCAGTTCGCCATAAGGTTCCTGTGAACAATTTCCTCAACCACTAGAGAAAAATCTTTGGTGGATTCCTGACCCCCTTCAGGTCTTGTGGGACACTCCAGGGAGCTGACTCAGACCTTTCCATATGGGCAGCCCACACAATGTTCTCCTTTGGTCAGAAGAATCAGAGGATTCTCTGAAGCTTGTCAACTCCCAGGGCAATCAGAGTAAAAGCAGGTGGACATAGATTCTTCTGTTCTCAGGTGACCAAATTAGTTTTAATTTAATTTTCTTTTTTTTTTTTGTAATTCTCTCATTTTCTGTCATGTAGAAGGAAGACCAGAGAAGGGCCCTTCTCCTGGGCATCCCTTTAGCATATACATATCTTGCTTCCTTTCTGACTCTCCTGCCTCAGCTCCCCTCATCTAGGCCCAAAGAATATTTTTGTGCTCCTGTGTGCAGAAACTTGTATTTATAGACTAGCTTTAGGATGAATTTTGCTATTCCTTGATCAAGAACCAGGTTTAAAAAACAGAAACCCAAAGTTTTCGACTTGATCGTTTCCTTTAGAAAGTGATTACTTACACCTGGGGTTTCCCAAGACTCAATGCTAACCACTGTTACATATGTTTTCTTACGTTCTCACTTAAAAAATTTGTCTTTGAAACCATGAACGTTTATGGGATATTTCTGGTTTCATTTAGGATGGAGGGAAGGTGGAGAAAATGAATATTGTAGTAAGAGGTAAAACCTCAGGCACTTTCAAAATTCTTTTCTGTTCATTTTTGATAATTTAATGCAATAGACAGATTTATAATAGTAAGATTTATAACAATAAGATAATGAAACCAAATAAATAAATGGGTTTAAAGTTTAGATCCATTGAAAGACAGTGTTTTACTGAGGTATATAAATGAGGGAAATTAACAGAAAAGCATCTGTCATAACAAATGTGATCAACTGACACTTTTAAAATGTTTAATGAGATTTCATTTGGCCCACAACATGCATGATGTGTGTTTGTAGTATCTATATGTGCATGTGTGTACATATGCATGTGTGTAAATAAACTTGCATATGTATGAATCTAAGTGTGTATATAATGCCTTTTCTGTATATAAAACATTCAAATTCATTGATCTGTATAGTAAAGCATAAGGGTGGAAGAGGTACTCTTTTCATTTTATGCTTGCTGAAACTACAGTTCAGAGTGGCAAAACATTTTCCCTAAAGTCACAGAGCGAAAATGTGCTAGACAGTGACTCAAGCTGAAGACTTACAACTTCCCAAATTACGCTCGCTTTTCCCTCTCATAACCCAGTTTCATAGATTCTTACTTATCTATCAGCTTGCATGAAACATGTTTACTGCCAATGGTAAACAGGTTAGGTCCTGAGAGGGTCAGTGAATGTCCCATACTGCCAGCTGAAGATCATGAGAATTCTGTACCAGCTCTGGAGAAATTTCTTGATGACCACTCAGTGGTTTTGTGTACTATAGCAGAGTACTCTGGATCTAATCATTTAACTTAGCATACTACTGACAATTTTTTGAACTGCTGGAGTGATACTAAATAGTACTCCTGACCTTTGCACAGTTAAGCAACCAGGTAAGTGTTCAAGCTGAAAATTGACCCTAATATTAATTATTAGTTGTTTAATACTGAACATTTCTTTCTGAGTTGTTTAATTCATTTGATTGTGTATGCATTTATGTGTGTTTTTAGACACTGTAGTGATATGATTAAAAATTCACCTATTAAATAGCCAAGAATCCCAAAGAGATCTGAATGAGCCCATTGGCAGCACCGTATTTTGCACCTGAGCTGAAGTGGACGAGTCCACATCAGAGCCCTGGGTTTTCTTCCCTGACCTGCTTCTCCAAACCTCAGAGCCCAAGGAAAACAGTAAAGCCACATAGAAACTGTAACTTATCCTTAAGATGTATTATATTCAGACAAATGCATTTTCTACTGTCTAATGTTTCAATAATGACCCCAAAGGGAAAGAGGAGTCATTATAACCATGAGCCCAGCACAAACGGGATACGGTATTCTCAGCCTTAACAGAGCAGTTGGTTCATTTGAGCAGTTGGTCAGAATGAGAACGAAACTGTTTACAGAAGAGTGAAAGTCAGCAATGTATTTGTGAAGCTGGATGCCTTCAAAGGGCGCTCTCCTTGTAGCTTTTTTTTTTTAAACATTAATTGTTCTATGGAGATGGTGATGCCTATCATTTGTGGTCTTGCTGTGGTGTCCCTCAATTTTTTAAATGGCATTTTCAAGACTTTAGTAATAAATTTTAAAAATACTAATGTTTGAATTCTGTAGACAAAATTTAAAATGTGTATGCAATTCAGTCTCTTTGGATGATTATGGTTGAGGCTTAATTAACAAATTGTGGGGTTTTGTTTCAGGAGAGCACGGACGTGGAGGAGGAGGAAGAGGAAGAAGAGAGGGTGAGTCTTCTAAGGAAACAGCTGAACAGGGACACCAATGGGGGCAGCAGATTTGCCCCTCCAGGTTGCGTCTTTTTGGTTCTTTAATACTGTAAATCAAATGATACAATGATATTAAAATATTTTTTAAAAACCCCAAGATCTCCTGTATTAAAAATGGAACAGTTACAATCCTCTATTTGACTCTTTACCCAAATGGATTAGGAGTAGCAGTTGCCTTTCCTGTCTTACAAATACTATTTTTTTTTCAATGGACAGGTAATATTTGTACACCTTTATGGGTATAGTGCGATATTTGGGCCCTAAGATTTCACATAATAAGATTCAAAGGGGATATAATGTCAGGAGTAACTGAAATGTTCTAAACAGCATACCGATCGGAGGCTGCTCTCTGGACGAAAGCCAGGGTTAGCCCTCCCCTTTGTAGATAAAAGGTAGCCTGGGAAGTCAAAAGGAAATCAAGTGAAATTGCTGCTCCTTTAGGTTCACGTTGGCGCGCTGTGGGGTGGTCACCCACTTCCGAGCCTGTCAGTTCCCCAGCTGTTGCTGGCAGCGTTTTCAGCTATATGTCTGTGTACATCTGTCCTTTTACTTCTCCTGGGAGAATCTCTCAAATCTGCTGCTTTTGTTGTCATTACACTTTCAGACAAACCTTCTGGAATAAAATGAAAAAAGGGAAGTGCCAAATGAGATGCTTCAAGCTTAATGGACTTCCAGTCCCCTAAAACCTGTGGGTATATGGGGCCAGGGATGGTAGAATGGAGGAGGCTTCTGGGAGAGGAAAGGGCAGAAGGGAGAACCTTAAGAGTAAGTGTGCAATATAAATGCCCATTGAATAGAAATTAATTCAAAGATACTGGCTCCATGACACAAAGAGCCTGAAAATTAATTGAGTGGACCAGATGGTTTCACCCATTTAAGGCAAATGGGGTGGGTTACAAAGTAAGTTGTATTTGTTGTGCTGAGAAGATCGTTAATAGCAAAATAATAAAGTATAATATTTATAAAAAGGAAATCTTCCTTTTTCAGGTTAGAGGTTACACAGATTCACCTTTCATCCTGATGCATTGATGGGAGGGTTTACCATGTGACCATCATTGAATATTAGTTGTCATTGCCTGGCTAAAGTGCAGAAGGGATGCTTGGTGAAAGAAAATAGCCAGTATTAATGAATTAGTTATAAACCTATACACTGTACCAGTTGCAAGTCTGGGCCTACAGTTTTTCTACCAGCCAGCCAGCTATAAATTATGGGTTCCCACAGCCCTTCCTTGGGTTTAAAAATTTGCTAGAATAGCTCATAAAATGCAAGAAAACATTTACTTACACTTCTGGTTTGTGGTAAAAGATGCAACTCAGGAACAGCTAATTGGAAGAGACACACAGAGGAAGATTGGGGCTGGGGTGTGGTGCTTCCTTGCCCTCCCTAGGCACTGCATGATCCTGGCTCCTGCACATATTCAACAGCACAGAAGCCTCCTGACATAGTTTTTTTTTTTTTTTTTTTTTACTTTATTGGTTGTTTTTCTGGAGGCTTCCTTAAGTCAGCATGGATGATTAAATCACTGACCACTGTAATTAAGTCCATTTCCAGTTCTTCCCCTCTTTCTGGAGGCTAGGTGGTTTGGGAAAGGTGGGCCTTTCAGTTCCAATCCTCTAATCACATGGTGGATTCCTCTAGCAACCAGCTCCCTATCCTTAGGGGATTTTAAAATGTGTTGTCTCGTTAACTTAAACTTAGGTGTGATGGACATTTTTTTTTTTAATGAACAACAAAAAAATTCTCCTTTCACCTTTCTACATCTGCAGCTATTTCAGGACCTGGAGACAAAACCAAATATAACAAAACATACTCCTACCACTCTTATCACTTAGGCAGTTCCAAGAGTTTTAGGAGCTCTGGCCAGGAGCCAGGAACAAATACCAAATATATATTTCTTATTATATCACAATATCACACTAGGCAAAATTCTAAATTTTCATAAACCAAAGCTGAAAAGAGAGGAAAAAAAAATTTTTTTTCTATTTGACCAAGTCTATTTAAATGAGCCACCCCAGGAATAAGGCCCTGCCCACCCTTTAGAGATCATTTGGACCAGATGTCTTTGGCCCCCCTGAAGCAGAAGAGCTTCCAACAAGAAGACTAGGAATGGAAAAGTATTGTTTGGCAAAGGGCAAGCAACAAAATTAGGCCATGAAGTGTAGATTATTGGTTGTCAAGATCTGAGTTGCCTCAGACTACCTGGATGTTTGCAGACAGAGCTATGTGAATGTGCTTCAAGTCTTTCTGGGCAAGGATGACAGAGGAGAGAGTGTGAATGGCAGCACCCTGGCCTGGGTTCATCCATCCCAGCATGGCCCTGCTCATGACAGTAGCATCAATTTGTCCCACGGTGAAAGGGGTGGCAGCAGGGCTCTCCTCACTCCCCCCAGGGCAATTTCATTCTTGACATGTTTTTATTACAGTATTTCAATAGTGCCTTTTTTTTTGGTACTGAGAATTGAATTAGGAGCACTCAATCACTGAGCCATAGCTGTAGCCCTTTTTATTTAGAGACAGGGTCTCACTGAGTTGCTTAGGGCCTTGCTAAGTTGCTGAGTATGACTTTGAACTTGAGATCCTCCTGCCTCAGCCTCCTGAGCTGCTGGGATTACAGGCACGCACGTGGCTCAAATAGGGCCTTTTAATAGGTAATGCAAAACCATGGCAGTTTTACTTCTTCAGTTTTATATTTCTATAAAATCCTCTAAAGGAATTAGTATAAAATAATTCAACCTCTGTTTATGCCTCTTCTGCTTAACAAACCTTTCAATAGCTAGGGAGAATGGTAGACTTCCTAGTCCTTGTTCATTTCTTTTCACTATACCTTTTCTTGTAAATCTGTTGAACTAAAGGGGTATTCAACATGGAGGCTCCTCAAGTGCACATCCTGCAGGTGTGCAAAGTGTCACTTCTTCTCCACATACAGCAGCCTCCACCACTGACATGTGCTCATTGTAGACATGGATACACAGTGACTAGGCGACTCCCCACCACAGTGGACTGTCAGAGAGGTCTTCTCCACTGAGCCCTTCTGGCTTCTGTTGTGTGTTAGATGTGACAGACTGTGCTTCTGGGAACTGTAACACACCCATGCCAAGAGGAACTGTTTACAAATTATAAACACACAGCCATTTCTTACAGAACCAGAAGAGGAGAGAAACTCCTTTCTACCCAAACCATCCATCTTAAAAGTGACACTCCTTAATTACCAGCACCCCTTCCCACCACATACCATCACAGATGACTGTGAAAGATGAAAGGCTGCCTGGGCCCCTTGGCCCAACTTCCTCAGGAGATGAATGCACTCTCATCTTCTGCCTGTCTTGGATGCACAGACCAGGACATGATCTGGGGTCTGTCATACTTTTATTGTCTGGAACAGGGATTGTTGCAAAATGACATCACTGTAGCCTCTTGCTCCTTCTTATTGTTAAAAGTGCTTGGTGGTGATCTGTATTAGAAACCAGATTAGACTGAACAATTTTGCCTTTTCTTTCGTGAACTTTCAATAAGAGCATAGAAGTTTCAGGTAACTAGATTTTTGGCTTTCAGGAAGTGAAGCATACAAGCTAAACTTTAAAGAGAGGAAATCCTCCTTTCTTATACCTGATGGCCCATGTAAGAAATTGCTTGTTGCAAGTGTAGTTTGCAAGGGACCCCAGAACAAACAGATAATGGCTAAGTTCAGCCAACAGCAATCAGTTGACATTTCCTATTTGTATTAGATTCCATATGTGGAATCCTTCCGTGTGGACCTTATTTGTACGGATGGATTACAATGAAAATTGCATTAATTTTCTACACAGTAAAGGTCAGTAATTGAAGCATGAACCAAGAAACTATTGTGTAAAATGCTGTATCCTGTACTTAGGAAAGGTCATGCAAGACAATAATATCTTGTTTTCATTGCTGAAGGTATAAATACTTCTATTAAGAGTTTCTTTCTTTTTCCAGCTCAACAACCACTTACCTAGAATATTTCAGCATTTACTATTAGCATCAGGAAAGAGGAATCATAGGGCATATAATAAAAGAAAAAAAAAGCAGTGTATTGCTATCAGAAAGAAACTACTCTGATGCCTGCATTGTGGGTTGGTTTATTTATAACTAGGCTGACAGAAATAGGACTTGAATGATCTGTCCTTTAAGGATCATCAATGAGGTCAGAATTTTCTGATAAAGTTTATGAAAAAAGAAAATCATCTTTTTATATCAGTAATTGATTTAAAAGCAGACATGGATGTTTTCCTTGAAGAAGGTAAGAAACATAATGCATTTTTGTTGATTGATGAACAATTTCTAATGAAAAGATGCAAATGGACATTATATTTTCAATTTGCACAAATTAGGTGTCATCATTAAAACTTAAGCACATTTAAACTGTGAATTTCACAATCCATCAATCTATTGAATGACATTATCATTACACAGGCAGAGCCATCAAGGAAGAAGACCATGGCCTCTGTACCCAGGAGTTCTCTCTGTAAATTAACCTGCACACTACTTTCAGTGGGGTTGTTCGGTCCACTGAGGCTCATTGCTTTCATCCTTTTGTTGTAGAGGGAGAAGTTAATCTACTGTCCTAACTCAGGAAAACTATTGTTCATGGGAGACACCTTACAATCTAGTAATAAGAGTGGTTTGCTTACTATTCTTCTTGCCTTCTTAAAAGATGTCCAAAGCTCAGTAAATGGGTTTGATCAGTGATTTTTGTTAATTCTTCCATTAACAGTGTTACTTTAAGATGATGAAGTATGGTGATAGTAAGAAAATCAAAATCCAGGACGTAACTTTCGATGTTTAACAATAGTTGTAGATGTGCCTATGTGGGTATCTGTGCACACACACTCCTTCGGCACATATACAACCCACATACAGGGCCTGTTATAGAAGATCTGCTTAAGGATAAAATTTAGGTAACTAAAGTAAATGGAAATTCTGATATAAGTCCTTTTAG